TTAATCCCGACCAATCAGAGCGCAGGTCAGAGAATACGAGGGTTAATCCCGACCAATCAGAGCGCAGCTCAGTTAATATAAGGGTTAGTTCCGACCAATCGCAGCATAGATCAGTGAATATAAGGGTTAAACCCGACCAATAAGAGCTCAGGTCAGGGATTATGAGGGTAATCCCGACCAATCAGAGCTCATGTTACTGAATATGAGGGTTAATCCCGACCAATCAGAGCTTAGATTAGTGAATACAAGGGTTAAACCTGACTAATCATAGCTCAGGTCAGTGATTATGAGGGTTAATCCCAACCAATCAGTGCTCAGGTCAGTGATTATGAGGGTTAATCCCAACCAATCAGAGCATCGGTCGGTGAATATAATATACATTCCAAGCATCCAAACTGTTTAGATATTTACCTTTAAAGAAAAAATGTTGATGTTTCCTGTCTGTATTGGTGTCTCTGTGTGTCTCCAGGGGAATCCCCATTGATGGTGGATGAAGGCTCCAGGGCCTGTCTGTGCGGAGGGGTTCTTGGGGCCTCAGACCCAGACAGTCCAGCAGAGGACCTGACCTTTCTACTGGAGACTCCTCCCCTTCATGGCTTCCTGGAGAACGTGCTGCCGATGCCTGGCTCAGAGAAGAGCAATGCGGGAATACCGATAGGTCGGTGTGATTGCATTGAGCTTTCTATCTCTGTGAGGACATTTAGTCCTTTCCTGACCCAGATCCAAACCCTGTGGTTCAGGTTCCTGAAGGTCCCTGAATGTTTGCTGACCCCTGACTTTAGTTTCTTCTCCCAGAGTCCTTCAGCCTCACACACCTGACCTCAGGTCTCATCAACTATGTTCAGTCAGAGCACAGAGGATTGGAGCCGACAGTGGACCAGATGTCCATCAGTGTGAGCGACGGCCTGTACAGCTCCGCCCCTGTGCCCTTCTACATCATCATCAACCCAACCAATGACGAGCCACCGTTGCTGCTGCTCACTAACTTTACGGTGCGTATACGATTAAAGCTAGGCTTGAAACTATAGTTACAAAACAAAAGAAGCAGGTGAGGGACTCATGTGGTTCACGCCTGCAGGTGAAAGAGGGCGGTTTCATGGAGCTGACTCCATCCATTCTGGATGCCTCTGATCTGGATGTCCCTCCAGGCATCCTGACCTTCAAGGTGGAACGCCCACCGGCTCATGGCACCCTGATCCGAGCTCCGCATGGGGAGGTGGGAGCTGAACGGCTGCAGAAGAGCCTCCCTGTCCCCTCCTTCACCCTGCAAGAACTCAGAGAGGGTGAGACGAGCTTTAAACCAATAAACCACGGAGAAAGTCTGTGTCTCCTTTTTCTGTTGCCCTCAAAGATCCATGGTAACATTGATCTAAATCGGCCTAATGAGGTATGAGGGAGCTGTGGAGATAACTGCAATACACCCTCAGTCCAGAGGGTGGCAGTAATAAGAAAACAAAGGTCAAAAAAGAAAAGTCCGACTGAAAATCAAATGTTTTTTTCTAACTGTATCAGTCTAAATGTCTTTTATTCATTTCACTATTTTACATTAAGTTTGTTCCAACCCGACTCTGACCAGAATAGCGCTTTAAAACTACATGGTTCATTTACAATAACTAAGTGGAGATAAACAAACCTATTTGTCTTTTATTCTTAACAGCAGAGCAACATATTTTAGATTTCTAAAAGACAGAAGCTAAGACTTTTGAAATAAAAAATATTTATTAGTATAACACGAAAGTTATGAAGAATGTTTTTGTATGATATTAAGGTAATTGAGCTGAGGATGATGGGAGGTCATGCTGGAACAGGATCATTGGGAGCTTTTGGGAAACCGTGTGCATAACCATGAAAAATAAAACACAGAATTTAGACTTTACTGAAATAAGTCTAAGGAAAATGTGTTTCATAAAATACTGTAAGGTTTCATCAGTAAGCATGCTCTATTAGAACATATGTCTCAATTCAGTTGAAAACAAAAAATAGGAATACAAATAAAGTAATACATATTTATTAAAAAAAGGGTTAATAAATTAGCTAAATTAGCTCACAATGTAAAAAATCGTCAGGATTTTAATGATTTAGTAGCGCAGTTATTCATCACATATAATATGATATTTCACTTCCAGCTTCAAACAGAGAACAGTTAACAGGCGGTGAGCTTCTGGCATCAGAAACCTCTGCAGTCATTGCAGAGCTCTGCTGCTCTTGAAGCTCTAAATCATGTATTACAGTACGAACGGAAGTTTTAAGCTCTGCATTCTCACTTAACAACATTTTAAAAACTACTTTTGTAACAAATCAAAAAGATTAAAATGCTCACCTTGTGCTGCCTTCTGCCACTGGTGACTGGGTGCATTGTGGGATATCTGGCTGCACACAACTCCCTCTTTCTGAAATCCAATGAAATATCCAACATACTCACATATCAGGACCACATTCCTGAGAAAGGGAGAAGCCGTGGGTCAAAATGTATGGAAAGGCATTTTAGGATATAATCTTTGTTTTCTGTATGTTTGTACAGTTTTAATTAAATAAAACCAAACATCAGCGTAAAGCCTCTGAATCACCCCTGCCCCCCCTGCCTCCTTCACACTCTGCAGGGATGAAGATCCTGTACCTTCATGATGACACAGAAACCCTGGAGGACACCGTGCTGCTGCAGCTGACAGATGGCGTGCACTCGGTGGAGGGGACAGTCCGGGTCACGGTGATGCCGGTCAATGACAACAAGCCGCACCTGATCAGGTAAACACACACACACAGGGGGAGAACTACAGCTTAAAAAGAGCAACTAAAGAAGAAATCTAAGTAGACAATATTTCAGTACTTTATGAGAATCTCTTTATCAATAAGCATTTAGACTTAAACCATGTTAACTAAGTTATAATAAAAACAGTTTTGCATTGAAGGGTTGAAGTTTTCCACTAATTGAAGGATTCATTGTTAAAAATCGATAGTAATAAACTCCGCAGAGATTTTGGAGGTTATATCCTGATATTTGCACCTGCTGGATAGACACGTTACCATGGAAACCCAAGTTTCAGACTTTTGCTGCTGGTATTAAAGCTGGGGTCAAAACCAGCAGGAGATTCTCCAAACTCTAGAGGAGAGGCTGAGATGAAAGCATCTGAAGGGGAGAGCGGGAGTTTCCTCCAGAGTTCAAGTCTTTTAGGGGATAAAACATCCTGGATGTGGACGGGGACACAGTCAGGACATATGGAGGACACAGGGATGGTCCCTGAGGGGCAGTACATGCAGATGCTTGGCTGTCAACATCATTCATGGTCCTGATAACAGCGAACCTGCAGACTGAAACATCTGAAATGGAAGAAAATATTACGGCATGTCCAGGACCTCCTAGAACCTCAGAACCAGAAGAGACTGAGCAGAGTTCAAGTCTGGGTCCAAGGACCAGAGCCAGGTTTAAACCTGGAGGTGCTGAACACAGCTGACCCAGATATCTGGTTCTGTCCAACTCAGAAAGAAGAGTCTTCATGAGCAAATGCTTATCCTTCCCCCCATCCTTGACGTTTTCACCGAAATCAGTGATTTGGAATGTGCATCCTGGACGGGGCCCTAGATGCCCTCACCTCACCACCAAGGTGTCCCCAGATCAGCTGAGGGCCACCAGAGTGGAAGTCTGGGGGGGGGGACAGTCTGCTGGTGCTGTTCGGACCAGCGAGGCAGAAGAACACACAGACTTGGCAGCTGCTGCTCTGCTTGTTGTTGTTTCCTGCAGGATGGACGTGCCACCGTCTCCTGTGTGGATTTTATTTCCGAGTGAAAAAGCAGACAGATGGTTCCTGATGTTAGACCCCCCCTCCCCTCTCCCCCGACCACACACACACGTCAGCATCAACTTTGATTTCCACTTCCCCAATTCAAAAACCTACCCACACACAAACTTCCATTTTTATCTCTACAACCACCAAACAGCTACTTATCCTCTGCCCTGAAGCAGATGTTTGGTCCATCAGGTTCTCCTCCAAGGTTCAACCCGGTTTCTAAAGTGTTTTTTTCAATAGAGTTTCAAAATGGTTTAAAATCTGTTTTTGAAGATTACAGACAAGTTTAAAAACTGATTCCAACCAGAGTTATAAAGGTTTCGTTTTGGCTCATAGAAGCTTTCAGTGTAGTTTAGTATTTAGATTTTATATCGCTTTGAAAATGATTCGAGATTGCTTTATACTGTAGATGCAAACCTCCTAACTGTTTTATAGATTTCTAACTAGATAAAAAAATATGTTTTAATTCTGGTTTCAAATCTGGTCTCAGTATGGTTTCAAAATTGCTTTCAGACTGTTTTATTGAACCTTTCAAACTGGATGAAAAACTAATTTCAGGCTGGTTTCAAATCAGATCTTAGTTGATTTATAAACACCTATAAGACTGCCTTAGGACAGGTTTTGTGAAGTAGTTTTACACTAGTTTATGAAACAATTTCTAAATACTTTTCTTTAATGATTTAAGACCAGTTAATAGAAGCATTTTAACTTGTTTATAAACCAATTTCAGACTGGATTCAAATCTGATTTCAGAGTGGTTTTTAGAACATTTCATACTGGATAAAAATACAGTTGTAGACCAGTTTCAAAACTGATGTTACACAGGTTTCTAAAAGTTTCAAATGGGCAGATATAAGCCTTAAGTGTATTTTAGAAACTACCTTTAAAATTAATTGCACTCCAGCAGATGCTTTCAAAATGGTTTGTAGGAGCTTTTAGACTGGTTTTCAAACCATTTCTAACTGATTTACAGGAAGTTTTCGACTAGTTTACAAACCTGTCTCAAACTAATATCAAATCTGAATGAAAAAAGGTTTTGAATGTGAATTTAGACTGATTTTACCAAGAGTGGGTTGTTAAGTTTTCAGACTAATTTCAAAACTAATTTTAGAGTGGCTTCAAATAGACTTAGATTCAACTTTATTTATCCCTTGGAATTATTCCTTCAGGGAAATTATGGTTCCAGTAGCTTATATAGAATACAAACAGTTAAAGCAAAATGCCATTAAAGATGATATAAAAAGAGTGTACATAGCACCAAAAAACAAAAGTTGTAATGTGCTGGAATATGTTTCCTTTAGATATAAAAATATCTGCACAGTAGAGAGCTAAGGGCAGACTGACTACACAGTAGTTGACTTGGGTTTTTGCACTTGCACCGAACAAATGTACTGACCTTATAATTAAGTAAAAATCCTACAGGCTACACAGTATTTGGCATGTGTTATTGCACAGTGAGAGAAAAGAATATTGCACATGAGTGACGATAGGTAATATTTTCCATAAGAGAGGGGGGTGCTGACCCTTGACCCTCTTCTTCTTTTATCTTTCTGAGATAATCGAGACTCTCATTCCTTGGAATGTTTTTCATTCTATCAGGGTTTCAAAGGACAACTGCCAATCTTTGAATATTAAAGGTTCACCAGTGAACAATGCATGTTCTAGTGTAGGAAGACGATTAGCACTTATTGCTTCTGCTAGTATTTTCCATTCAATTCAGTTTATTTCTATAGCACCAATTCACAACACAAGTCATCTCAAGGCACTTTACAGTTCAGCCAGATCATACAGTCAAATTGATTCAAAGTTTTCAATCTAAGGAAAACCAGTTGATTGCATTGACTCATTGACTAAAATGCAATCCCTCANTCCTGATGTTAGACCCCCCCTCCCCTCTCCCCCGACCACACACACACGTCAGCATCAACTTTGATTTCCACTTCCCCAATTCAAAAACCTACCCAATTTCAAAATACTTTTATTTAATGATTTGAGACCAGTTAATAGAAGTATTTTAACTTATTTATAAACCAATTTCAGACTGGATTCAAATCTGATTTCAGAGTTGTTTATGGAGGTTTCTGACTGGATACCAATCTCTTTTTTGAACAGTTTTAAAACTGATGTTACACAGGTTTCTGAAAGTTTCAAATGGGCAGATATAAGCCTTAAGTGTATTTTAGAAACTACCTTTAAAATTAATTGCACTCCAGCAGATGCTTTCAAAATGGTTTGTAGGAGCTTTTAGACTGGTTTTCAAACCATTTCTAACTGATTTACAGGAAGTTTTCGACTAGTTTACAAACCTGTCTCAAACTAATATCAAATCTGAATGAAAAAAGGTTTTGAATGTGAATTTAGACTGATTTTACCAAGAGTGGGTTGTTAAGTTTTCAGACTAATTTCAAAACTAATTTTAGAGTGGCTTCAAATAGACTTGGATTCAACTTTATTTATCCCTTGGAATTATTCCTTCAGGGAAATTATGGTTCCAGTAGCTTATATAGAGTACAAACAGTTAAAGCAAAATGCCATTAAAGATGATATAAAAAGAGTGTACATAGTACCAAAAAACAAAAGTTGTAATGTGCTGGAATATGTTTCCTTTAGATATAAAAATATCTGCACAGTAGAGAGCTAAGGGCAGACTGACTACACAGTAGTTGACTTGGGTTTTTGCACTTGCACCGAACAAATGTACTGACCTTATAATTAAGTAAAAATCCTACAGGCTACACAGTATTTGGCATGTGTTATTGCACAGTGAGAGAAAAGAATATTGCACATGAGTGACAATAGGTAATGTTTTCAATAAGAGAGGGGGGTGCTGACCCTTAACCCTGTTCTTCTTTTATCTTTCTGAGATAATCGAGACTCTCATTCCTTGGAATGTTTTTCCTTCTATCAGGGTTTCAAAGGACAACTGCCAATCTTTGAACTTTAAAGGGTCACCAGTGAAAAATGCAGGTTCTGGAGTAGGAAGACGATTAGCACTTATTGCTTCTGCTGTATGCCATGTAGCTCATAGTTTGACTGTTCTTGAGCAGAAACAGAGGGGAAAAAAATGGTTTCAGGCTTTTTTTTTTAAGCTGTAAGACTGATTTGAAAACAACTGACTGGTTTGTTGTTATTCTTGCTATTGGAATAAACATCCATACATGTTGATGGTTTTAGAAATATATCTGACTGTTAACAGTTCAGCTATGTCTGAACTCCTTTTTAAATCTGTGTTAGATTGAACTAAAACTGATTTTGAATCATGTTTTTGTTGGTTTTTTCTTGTGCCTGTAAAGCCAAGCAGCACAGCTGAAGCAAACTGATAAAGATGCTCAGAGCTTCTCTGTTATTGGTGTTATTTTAGGAATGCTGGGCTGGACCTGGACTTTGGGGAGCGCAGAGTGATATCCAGCATGGTCCTGGAAGCTGCAGATCTAGACACGCCTCCAGACCAGGTGTTCTACTTCATCAATGCCGCACCAACATTTGGAAAACTCCTGCTGAAGGTGACGTGTTTGGTTTTAGTTGGAAAGTCAGAGCAGAGGCTTTATGAAGCACATTTTGTCCCAGTATTACTGCAAGCAAAGAACATGTTCTTTATCTTTTTTTTTTTTTTTCAAATTATATATTTGATTATACAAAAATTAAACAAACATTTTTAAAACAGATTGTATATATTTAACTTTTTTCTGTATTTCAGAGTGTTTTAAAGATCACATTCTGGTGGCAAGTTTTCCTCTGGAGTGAGGAAAATAGTATCGGTCAAGTATTTATATTGGGCTTGAAGTAAAGAGAATGTGATCTGTAAAACACAACTTAAAAAGAATGCAATTCATAAAACTCAATAAGAAACTATATCTGAAAAAAAAATCTTTGAAAAATATAAAACATGAAAAACAAAAAATATTTATTAAAGTAAATCTGAAAAAGTTACTTTCAAAACTCTTTGATGATTCAAATGTTTTTTACTGGATGCAACAATAATGAAACTTTCCAGGGTTCTGTCTGCTTTATCTGACCTAAATGGATCAAAAATCTGCCGTCTGTTAAATGCTTGAGAACATGGTCTCCAATTAGATTATTTTGTTTTATCTATAGCTCTTAATTTGAACCAAGTTAGACAAAGTGCTTTTTACAACCTAAACACCAAATAAATAAACTATTATCTTCAAGTAGGCCCTATATAGTATATGTATATATATATATATATATATATATATATATATATATATATATATATATATATATATATATATATATATATATAGTATATTTCAAAATGGAAAATCAATAACAGCAAAGGAGCAAACAAAAAAATAGAATAGAAAGCAAATTCATGAAAGTCAAATAGAAAAGAAAACATCTTAAACTGGGTTACAGGCCAGTTTACTTTGTAGCAAAATTGGACAAAAATAGGCAAGTGTGTGACAGAGATGGGTGGGCAGCAAGTCAAGCCCTCCAGAAGGATACATGTGTGGGATGAGAACAATGGAAATTTGAGGCAGCGATATGAGAGGACTGCTGCGTTCAAGCAGCTTTCCCGTTCACTGATGTGAATGCCAGGTGTTCATCGGTATTTTATTCTTTTTTCCCACATCCTGGTGCACAACTACCTTCACCGTTCAGGGCTTTAGTCAACGCTGTTAAAACGCAAATAAAATAAAAAAAATGGTCTAAAACTCAAGCTTCCATGTTACTCTCAAACCAGGAGATAAAGGGGAGTCCATGTGCTCAATAGGACCAGAAAGACATCATGAAAACATGGCTGACTGTTAGGGTTACAGTAGGTTTGATCGGGACGCTGAAGTTCAGAGGAAGAACTGGACCAAGAACCAAGTTTAGAATCCAAACATCTGGATCAATTTTGTTTTTATCAAGCATGATGATGACGAAATTATTTTGTTGACGCTTTTTTTAGCTAAACATGGATCTTCGATGATGAAAACTACATGACGAGTCACGGGTGTGAGTCCTGTTAGCAGGTGGTCCATCAGATGTTTAAAAAGCATCAATGAGCTGTAATCTACTTAGCAGCATCAGCCGCGCTTGAAAGTAGGCCGGAATGGTACGGTGCAGCACGTTCAACTCTGGCAAACTCTGCTCTTCCAGCTGTGCTTCTTCAGAAATGTTTTTTTGTGTGCAGTGCGCTTGCTCTCTGCACAAATGGTTCACTCTGAGCAGTCTGGCTCTTCCTGCCCTCGCCACTTAATAAACTATATGTGGTTGATTATCCTCTGCCAAGCATGAAAATCCTTTTGTCTAACTATCAGGATTTTATTTCATCCAGCTCACAAGGGGTGATGTAAAAGCTTCTTTAATTTCTACCAAAATTAATCCCTAAATTATGAACAAAGCAAATATTTAATTGCATACTGTTTATTTTTGGACAAAAAGGTACATAGATCTTTGAATTCTTCTCTCTCACAGTTCTTGTTTCTAACTATTTGAATATTTTAACATTTTAGTTCACATATTAAAATGTAGGTCCGGATTGCTGTGACATTATAAGGCAATCATGAAGGTTCTCTGTGTATTTTTTTTAAAATCAGACCTCTATGAATTTAAATCTATTTAAACCCCTGAGCAGCGGTAACCAAGGCCTAAATTCTTATGAATAAAACCAAAATTGTCAAAGTAGAAAGAACAATGTTTTTTTTTTGTCCTTTTTTTTTTTTAGGAGTAATGCAGATTGTATTGATATGTGTGTGATGCATAATTCACAGTAGATCAGGAAGTGTTTGCTTTTGGATGGAAACCTTGTATGTCTAAAACCATTCCTTTATTGTACATTTTGTTAGCTTGTCTGTTTGCTATATTTACCAATATGATGTGTTGAACTAGATCTGCTATTTTCACAACTTTTGTGGGACACTTATGTATAAAGTAGGATATTAATTAATTTTAAAAATGTGTTATAATTCTATAAGTCAAAGTTTTTTTGCCCAACAACAATGATGAACTGCATGGCAGCATTCTATAAGCAGCAGTTGTATTTAGGAAAGAGCTGTCAGTCTGGTAAAGAATCTGCTTGTTCTCGAAGTTGTAAAGGTTAGATGTTTTATGAAGTGCAATATAAAACTGACTAAAACCTTTTTAATCTTTAGTCAACTAAAGCTGGACTAAACGTATCTCATATTGTAATGACTAAAATGTGACTAAAACCAATAATATTTTTTGTCCTGAAGACTAAAACTAAGACTAAATCTAGGCTGGCTGTAAAAAACCAAACTGTTCTGGATACGGAAATCCTACAGGATGTGTGTTTCAATCAGCTCTAACTTAAACCTCCTTCTGTTCCTGCAGACAGAGCCCAGCTGGGCTGAGCTTTCAGCTGGTCAGAACTTCACCCAGGAGCAGGTAGAGATGAACCAGGTCTGGTACCATCACAGAGCCAGCAGCGCCGGGTTCAGAGGTCATGACAGCTTCCGGTTCATCCTGAGCGACGTGGACAACGAGTCTCCGACTCAGAGCTTCATGATCTCCATCCGTACAGTGAACAGAGGTCAGCCAGAACCAGAACCAGTTCAATTTTCCATTATGGTCGCTGCTATGAATCTCAGTGTTCTGACCCTGATCTGGGTCCAGCAGCAGACGGTTCAGTGCTGCTCCTGGAGCTTCTCCTCCTGCACCCCTCCCTCCAGTCTGTCGGGGGTCCTGCATTATTTAGCGCCTCCTTCCTGCCATTTTTACCAGTCGGGTGAACACGGTGCCACCGGGCCCCGGGCCTTCTGGGGCGGGGCCCGGTGGTCCTGGAGGAGCAGAGGTGAGAAACGGCCGGCCTCGTTAGCTGGTGAATAATTAACGGAGGGGAGCTGCAGCAGCTGTGGACTCATCCCCTCTGATCCAAAACACAAACACAGGTCAGTGACAGAACCCGACTGCCTGTGCACTGCTGAGCAAGGCAGCCCACCTAAGGAAGGGGCAGGCTTTCAGATCTGGGTCAGATTCAGAACTTTTTGGACCTTGTTTAAGACCCAGTTTACTCCAGAACAGAAACTGTTCTGGAATTTGGGTCAGTTTTGGTTCAGGGCTTAAATTTGTTTAATAGTTTATTTCTCATTTTTTTCTTAATCTTTTTTTGATGTTTTTGGATAAATTTTTAGATTTCAGCAAGATCTTAATTTGGACCCGTTTTCTGTAGTTTCAGAGGTTTATCAGAACACCATTTGGACCTAATGTCAAACTTTCATCCTTTTATGCATCTATCGTTGTTTATTAAATTGTTGAATTCATTTCTTAAAGTATTTTTATAAAGTTCTTTTCAATTTTAGAAATCCAGAGTTCTGTGGGAAACATTCTCTCTGAAGTCTCTGAATGTCTCCAGGTGAGATCATCCTGAAGACCAAAACCGTCCACCTGAGGGAGGGGCAGCAGGTGGTCCTTAACACTGACATGTTGCTGGCATCGGACTCCTCGGGTCGACCTGAAGAGCTGGTCTTCGCTGTGTCTACCCCGCCCCGACACGGCCTCGTCCACGCCGTCCAGCTTCCCGGTGTCCCTCTCATCAGCTTCACTCAGCTGGATGTGGCGGCGCACCGGATCTGCTACACTCACAACAACGACCACCACTCAGAGGCCGACTCCTTCAGGTGAATGAAGACACACTGAGGAGCTGGTTCTGGTTCTGATCAAACACATGATAAGTGAAATAAATAAAATGAAAGCATTTAAATGAGAAATAAATGGATGATGGAGTCCTGGGAACAGGGCCTGATTCTGAGTGGAACTGAAGAAGGCGTTTCTGTCCCCTGAAAACGATCAGACAACATTTGGCCAAGGAAGGAGCGCCGGGCAGCGAGATGAGGCGAGGGGGAGCCTCAGCATCAGGGGACGACAGGCTGTAGTGTGTTGATCTGCTCTTTCAGCCAATTTGGCAGCAGAAGGGTGAAAAAGAGGGGAGGAGGGGGATGTTAGTATGAGCAGAACCCGGGTTTGTCACCCAGACCTGTGCTGCCCCGAACGGCTGACTGTCTGGCTCAGAACCACCCCTCAGATCTCAGCCAAGCCTGAGAGATGAGCAGCCAGCCGGACCGCTTCCTGTCACCATTCTGGCTGCAGCCATTCGGATCAGCTGCTGGATTTTCTCACACTTTCTACAACGAACCACGTGGGACGGGACAAAGGCACAGAGTTTCTCAGCCTCAGTCCTGGATAGAATATTTACAGTTTTGACAAAAAAAGGAAATCATGGAAACCATTTTAGTGTGAGATTTAAATCCAAAAATGACACCAAAGCTTCTTGTTTAAAGGTTCTGGTCCAAAGAAAACATATGTTTCTTCTGATGTCAGTCAGGTTTTTATATCTGACGTGAGACGTGCCTGTAGTTTATGTAACGGGTTGTTTGTATCAGAATTTAAGGACAAATATAGCAGAGCATCATCAGCATAATCTCATACTGTCTGATGATTTGACCAACATCTGGAATCAGATTTTAATCCCCTAAAAACCCAGAGATCACATTTTCTCTCATCATTTGGTCCAATTTCCCAAAAAAAAAAAAAAACTCATGTGTATTTATTTATACAGAGGATAGAAAGGTCCAAAAATTATATCATTCGGGAAGGAAATCGGTACCTTCTCCCAGAGATGAACTGGCTCTGCTGAAAGATCCTTAAATTAACCCCAGAACCGAAGCTACTGAAGCTGGTTTCATCCACTGTGGAACAAGTCCTGGACTAACCAGATCTAAAAGGCAACAAGAGAAAAAGAAGGTCTTCCTCCAAACGCCACAAAAGGTCCATAAAGATTTTTCATTGAGATGAACATACTAGGAACTGTCAGCCATGCTTTCCAGAGCTGTTCCCATGATTCCTGTAGAACATTGAAACGGGTCATTGTGGTTCTGAGACTGGGTCTGCAGCTTTGCTAGAATTCACCTCACATGTGTTGGGGTCGCCTGGGCGCACACACACTCAGCGGGGCCTCGGTGTGTGAGAGGACATGACAGCAGATGATGAATGAGTGTTATTAGGAGAATATGAGCAGCGACGGCCAAACGGAGCGGCCCACAGACGGTGGTCCCTGGGCAAACATGGACGACGCTCCGGACAGATGCTGCCGGCAGTCTTGGTGTGTGTGTGAGTGAGAGCTGCAGGGGGAGGGCAGATTGTGCTGGCACAGCCCTCTGAGGACAAACACTCACCAGCCTGTACAGCTATTTTTATTTGGGCATTCCTCTGACCCAGTCCTCATCCGTTCATGGCTTTCTGTCTTCACACAGAACCAGAACCAGGGTTGGGTCTCTCTACAGCCAAGATTTGGCTCCAGAATGAACCTTTTGTGGCATTCATGATGTAGAAATGGCCTGAAAAGATTTTTAAAATAATACAATTTAGATCACACAGCCAGCCATGAAAATGACATGATGAATCTGTACAGGAGGCGCCATTCAATGGTCAACATGCTGAATTTACTACTTTGGATGTCTTTATGTTATTTTTTACAGCTTTGTCGTCACAAATGGGGCCTCATCCCGCAGCGGCACGCTCCTCTTCACTATTGAACACAGCGACCGCATCCCACCAACTTTAAAGATCAACGCAGGTCTCCATCTGAAGGACGGCTCCACCGCCACCATTAGCCCTGACCTACTGCAGCTCACCGACCCAGACACCGCCACCGCCAATCTGACCTACATCATTACCCTGCTGCCCACCAATGGAGAGCTGCTGCTGAGGGGAGCCCCACTGCCTTCCCCACCCAGGTTCCTCCAGATCGACATCGATCAACTGGACCTGGCTTACCGGCACAACCCGGGCAACCCAGTAGAGCTAGACCGCTTCTACTTCCTACCAAGTGATGGAACCAACAAAGGTTACCTGGAGTTTGGCCAGTTAAGAGAGGATCCTGCAGTATTTAACATCCAGGTGTGCACCACCCGTTAAGATTCATGCAGGTACATCTGGGACCCTCCATGAAAGCATCATCAGATCTGTCATCATGAATAGATACCTTAGCGGCCCCTGAGTGTTCTACTATGAACCCTTTAGGCGGCAATAAGGACTTAACTATGAACCCTTTAAGGGAACAACCAAAGACTCTTTAGAGAACCATTATAAGTTGCAGAAATCTACAATGAAGGCTTTAGGGACCCATAGGGACTCTATCGTAGATCCTTTTGAGAGCAATCAGCAATTTAACATAGAACCTTTAGGGGCCTAAAAAGGAGTCTATTGTTGAACCTTTAAGGGCCCATCCAAAATATACTAGAACCCTGCAGGAACCAATCAGAAACCTACCGTTTAATTTTTAAGGGTCTGTTTAGAATCTGTAAAGAATTTTCATGATCAGTCTTTGGAGCCCATCTGTAAATCGTCATGAAATGGATCAAAATAAGATTATTTTAATCTTTTTGAACACAAATAGTTGAACAGAAGAACAAGCAAAAGTCTATGAAGCAGATGGACATGAGGATGAAGACAGATAAATGTCTAGTTGAATGGGTCCAGATCAGTTTAGGACTTGGTTGAAATGGGCTCAGGTGTTTGGTGGAATCAGTTGGTATTATGTCCTGGTTTCTCATAATGTTTGGTTCAGATCTTTGGTTGAACCAGGTTCTGATGCAGGGAATCGGTTTTGGTTTGGGTTGGAATCTTTTAAATGGTTAAAGTCCCAGCTGGTTGGTTCAGATCTCAGAATCTGTTTATATTGGTTTCAAACAGAATCAGGTTTCTGATTCCTGCAGCCTGTTTCAGCTGTGGGTGACTGAGTAGCAGTGTTAAATACTTGAAGCGCAGCAGCAGAAGGCGAGCCTGGTCCCCCCTCCCCCACATGTTACCTGGTCACCCACAGCTGAAACAGGCTGCAGGAATCAGAAACCTGATTCTGTTTGAAACCAATATAAACAGATTCCTCTGAGACTCTTTGGACCACGGGTCGTTGTGTTGGAGTGATTTCAGGGTCATGCTGCATTTTTCAGTCATGAATATTTCAAACAGTATATCAGATATTTAGCCAGTCTGGTCTAGTTTTTCTGCCACAATACTTCGGATTTCATAAACATTTTCTATTTAACCTTTTCATATTCTGCTAATTTAAGTAGCTGATCACGTTTAGAGATCCAGAATCCAACATAAATATCCAATAACAGCTTAAGTTTCCTTTTGTGAAACAACCTCTTATTTAGACGGATTTCAAAAATTTAACTATTTATTCCAAACCAAAATTTTGTACGCAACAAAAACAAAACACATAAAGACCGGTCCTTCTGATGGCTGGACAAAGGAATCCCCTGGTCCATCCTGGAGAGTCTGCAGAATCCCAGTTAGTTTTGCTTCATATGCTACTTAAGGAAGAAAATGCTTTTCAAGGTGAACCAAAGCCAGCTTGGAGAAAAATGGGCTCACCTGATTATCCAGATCCTTTGGAAGAACAGTCCCTCCAAAATGTTCTAAACTGCCCCTCATTGACAGTAGATCATCGAGTCTAGAAGCTGTAACTAAAAGAGGAAGCTGCAAGAGCTGCTACATGCACTGTTGGTGACACCTAGTGGTCAATGAGTAGAACTGCAGCCAGAGGGTAACTCTCCTGTCAGAACTCAATGGTTATTTACAGAAAACTATTATAAAGATTTTTATTAATTTCCCTCTCAGTTCACAACAGATCTTCATTCGGAGATTAGTTTTTTTAAAGGGTTAAACAGAAATTTTTGCAGAACTTTTCAAATGGAGCAGAAATAGCTTAATACTCACAGTGAGGAGTTTAGTTCTAGTATACTGGTACCAGTTGATTGGATTCTTTGTTGACTAATGTCTCCTCTGTACCCAGGTGGAACCGGTGGACAGAATGTCCCCAAGTTTAAGCCGCATGGAGACTCCCAGTACCGTTGTGGATCTTGGCGCTGGCCGTTACGGTATCTTCATCACCAGCAGACACCTGCAGGGATCGGACCCGGACAGCCCACTAGAACAGCTGGAGTTCTCCATCATCAGTCCGCCCCGATTTGGGTACCTGGAGAACGCAGCCACAGGTAGAACCAGAGGATGGTTATGGAGCAGCAGCTGATCAGAACACTAAAATGTTCTGTACTCGGTTCTGTTCAGTGGTTTTACCATCTGAAGCTGAATGTTCCTCCATTGTTGCAGGAGCCTCCATCAGTCAGCGGTTCCACCAACTGGATCTGGATCAGCGCTCTGTTCTCTACATCCTTCCAGCTGATGTGGACGTTACTGCTGACAGTTTCCAGTTCTGTCTCGTGGACCGGGCAGGAAACCGGTCTCCACCTCAGATGTAGGTCCTCCACATGACTCTTCCATTGTTGCCCCTCTGATCCCAGACCCAGAGTAGATTCTGCAGGTTCTGTATCTTCCAGGCTTGAGCTGTTCTGGTCCCGGGTCCAGTTATCGGCGAGCTGCTATAGAACCTGTGAGACTTCAGGAACTCTGCAAATCCAGATCCAGCGCAGCGGCAGGAGTGTAGACCCAGCTTATGTCTCCATCCAGGTCAGTCTGGACCTGGGATGAGTCCAATTATGTAAGAGCCTTTGAAGGTTCTGTTCACAGTTACATGATGAAAACGTTTTCTGGCTCAGTCATGATTCGGTTCAGAGAACCAGCAACCAGGTTCCACAGAATCAGAAACAGCTAGAAAAGGCAGATCAAACACAGATACTGACCCAAAACCAGTGTTGTTTTTGACAGCCATCTTAGATTTAGTTTTAGTCTTCAGTGCAAAAACTATTATTAGTTTTGGTCACATTTTAGTCATTACTATGTGTGATAGTTTTAGTTGGTTTTAGTCGACTAAAACTCAAAAATATTTTAGTCTAGTTTTAGTCAATTTTGTGTTGCACTTCATAAAACAGTTAACCTTTATATTTTCAAATAACAACCAGATTCTTTACCAGACTGAGAGCTCTTGCCTAATAGCTGTGTATAGAATGCTGCTTTGCAGTTCATCATTGCTTTTGGGCAGAAAACTTTGATTTATAGAATTCAAATAAACTTTTTTTATGAATGAATGCCCTATAGCAGATCTAGTTCAACACATCATATTGGTTAATATAGCAGACAGAAAAGCTAACAAAATGTACAATAAATGAATGGTTTTAGACGTATTAGGCTTCCATTTAAAAGCAAACACCTCCTGATCTACTATGAATTATGCATTACACACAGATCAATAAAATCTTCATTACTTCAAAAAGCAAAGAACAAAAACATTATTCTTTCTGTGTTGACAATTGTGGCTTTATTTCTAAGAAATTGCCCCTTGGTTACCGCAACTCGAGGTCAAAGTATATTTAAATTGATAGGAGTGAGATATTTAGAAAAAAAAAATCACAGAGAACCTTCATAATTGCCTTATAATACCATGGCAATCCAGACCAACTGGGAACATCTAGAATCCAGCAGCGGAACCAGGACCTCAGCATGTTCTGCTTCAGCTGCTGGTGATCTGTAACAGTTCTGATCAGACCCAAACCGTCCGAGCTTTCAGGATGAAGCTCAGCCCAGAATGTGATGTGAGCAGCTTCAGGTGTTCTGATGGGGATGACCTGCTTGATGCAGTTAGTCAGCATTGTTCTAGTACTTTCTTAGAAGAACCTATAAAATGGACTAATTCGTGTTAGAAACTCATCAATAATTCCTGTTTATTCTTTACAGTTTAGCAAAGAAGATATAAATGTAGATACTAAATATGTGTCTATATATTTGAGTTTTCTGAAATGTGTTTTTATTTGAAACCATAAATGTTTTTTTTTATTTTTATCAGAACCAAGCTGATGTTCTGTCGTTCTGCAGGTGGAGGAAGGTTCTGCCAAACCCGGCAGAGATTTCACCCACAGCTCAGCCGCTCTGATCCAGTTTGACCCAGGTCTGATTTAAGTCCCTTTCATTCATCATATGGCTGATGGTGGTTCTGCTGCATCTGATCCTTTTGGTCCTGTTGGTTCCAGGTGTGAACATGAAGACCTGGAACGTTTTCCCGCTGGATGACGGTCTGGAGGAGAACCACGAGACCTTCAGCATCACTCTGAAAAGCCCTCAGAACGCCGTGCTGGGTCAGAGGACTTCAGCTACTGTGGAGATCATCGACCCCAGAGAAAGTGGTGTCAGAGTCATTCCTACTCCAGCCTGTAGGGGTAGATGTGGGGCTGCTTATGGACGTTTCAGAGTCCACATGGAACCAGCTGATCAACCAATGAGGAATAAAAACTTAAACTTTGTCTATTTAAGGTGATTTATTCTCTGTGTTTGATCTCTGTCTGTCAGGACGCTGTGATCCGAAGGACCTGAAGGTAGAGACCACTCCTCTTCCTCTTCCTCCTCCTCTTCATCCTAAGGAAGGTGGGGATGAAGACCCAGTCATTGACATTGAGGCGGAGCTTCTTTGGGAGAATCAGCCTCACCCTCCCAGAGGAGACGTCCCGGACCGCCGGCCTTACCTGGACTATGAAGAGGTTCAGCCGCAGGACCAGGCGGTAAAAGAGCCCAGAACCAGGCAGACCTCCAACAGCCACCTGCTGAGAGGACAGACCGACAGCAGGACCAGAGATGCACAGAAGGTCGGGTTCATCCAGAAAATCGAAAAGACCAAGAACTCCAGATTTCCTTTAGTAGGAGAAAAGTCTGCCGAGTGTTAAAACCAAAAGATCTCAGAGGTTTTCCTGAATTTAAATCTTCATCAGTTTGTTTCTGAGGCTCAATCTCCAAAGGCTTCATGCTTTATTTTAAACACTGCAGAGTGGAAAGGTCTGCCTAAGAGCTGGTTCTGCTGTTCTGATTCCAGGGATTCAGAATACGCTCTGAGGGCCCACCTCAGAGATCCGTTTTTTTAAATTTAGTTTTACTGTGAAGCGCTTTGTGACTACTGTCTGCTAAAAGTAAAAAAAATTATTAGTTCTTTATATCAATTGTATGTAAGCTTTGAGATAGTTTCCTGGTTCCTCTTAGGAGAATCTAACAGAAATTTGTTCTACTTCTGCCAGTTTGGAAGTCTGACTCCTCTTAAGATGGAAGAGCTGCAGCTGGAGGGAGCATGGTGGAGACATCATCCACACGGTCTCCTCCCACAGGAGCTGGACACCAGAGAAGCTCCTCAGACTGGTCCCCCAGATGCTCCTCAGACGGATCATCCAAGAGAGCAGCTGCAGCTCCCACTGAGAGAGGTTCACAGAGTTTAATCTATACTTTTGTTTCAGTGTTATCTGTTTGGATCTGAGTTAGTAAGAACCATCAGAATCTAAACCCTGAGGATCCAGCTGTGCCAAAGCAAAGAGTTTTATCCAAGAGAATAGGTTGATATGTAGGTTTACTGAGAGATAAAGGCTGCTACCTGAGAAGCATCTGCTTGGACTTCCAGCCTCTTCATGTTTTCTAGTCAATAATCCTGTCTGTGCTGAGGTTTGGGTCAGGATCAGTTCTACACTGTAAGACAAAGTTCTGCTTAACTTTATTTCCATGCTGGTCTTTGTTCTTGCAGGTGGGGAGCTCCCTCAGCAGCTCGTGTCCTGACGGATGGACCTTATACAGGAGACGCTGTCACATGGTCAGCCCGTCCCTGGCTAGTTGGGCCAGTGCGGACAGAACCTGCTCCCTGCTGTAAGTAACATCTGGTTCTGTTTGTAGGACCTTTCTGCTCGTCTCTGACTCTGATGGCTTCCATAGAAATTGAAACCCAACCACTGAACTAGATGGAGAAACAAATGGATTTCCTCACCTTCTGAGAAGAAGAGGGTTGAAGTTCTGCAGAACAGCTTGGTTCTGGTGTCATATGTACAGTTACATTAGAGATCATGTTAGAAAAGACCTACGAGGTCTATATAAGCCAATAATAGGACTCCTTCTATTAGGAAAGCCACAGAGAGATCCAGGACTTTCCTGGACCTCAGTCCTGAGTCAGCTGTTACCTGTAACTGTTACCACGGTAACCTTTGGGGTACCTGACAGGCGCCATGGTAAACCCAGACTCACCTATCACTCACTTCAGTTACCACGGTGACCTCAGAACCTGAGCTCAGAATCACCTGCAAACCTGGTTTTATCACTATTTGTCGCAGCCTCAGACTAAATCATCCCTATAAACTGTTGGTTCTCCAAAAGTGGTTACTAACCAGCAGTGGTCGGCACAGCTTGCGAATCTTATCACTAACCTATGTTCTGCTAACTACAATTTAAAAGTTGTACATGTGCAGTAGCTCCTCTGCAATGCAAAAGGATAGAGGAGGGAACTGTCGCCACATTAGCAGTGCGGCTGATTGACAAGTTGAGTCGCAAAAGTGAAGTTTCTTAAAGCAAACTTACCAAGAGAAGCTGGAGGTGATCAGCTGAACATCAAAATTAATCAGCAGTCCAAGATGGATGGAGACAGTACACTCTTTCTAGGACCTGGTTTAGCTACAAGGCTTGGATAACTGCATGCAGCGAGGCTAATGCTTTATTCTGCTTTCCAGACTCCTTTTTCAAAACATCAGGATCTGACCCAGCATAGATAAAGACAAGTAGGACTGATTTAAAGCACCTTTTAGAAAAGGCAAAGAAGAATGAACAATCTGGGATTAACATGGAAAACAATACAATATAGTCAACTTTTTCTAGCTGTTTGTTAATTTGCATAGTTGCTCTTAAATAAACACATTCTCAGAAAAAAAAAATGTATATGTTAAAAGAATATAAAGCTGACTAATAGCTTCTCCATTGTTAAACTGGTGCACTAGTCTTTTTCAAAACACAGATTTGCCTTCAAAAAGCCTCAGAAAGGTGAGATTTATGTACAAAAAATAAACCTTCACATTAAATTATGTTTTTATTTTTACGTTTTTAGGTGTTTTTATAATGTTTTTTTGTTAACATTCATATAAATATATTGGTGTGATAAATTATTATACGTTTGATTGTTTTTTTTAGTTTACATCTATTTTGAATTTAAACCCCCCCTGGAGAAAACTCCACCAGCCCCCACTGCATCTGAAAATAGATCAGGATGACACTAACGGAAAATAAAGCAGTCTAAGTTTTTGTCATTGAGTTATCCAATGACGTGAAAGAAGCGATCCGCTGCAGCTGTACTAGTTCAGACCTGAGTGAAGCTAAACATTATTCTCTGCTGCAGCTTCAACAGCAGCCTGAGCAGCCTGCACTCCAGGAAGGACCTCAGCTGGATGTGGAGGTTTGCTGGGAAGAAGTCCTTCTGGATCGGTGGGAATATTGAAAACTGTTTCTCAATCAATTCAAATTCACTACGTCTCTTTTCTGCTGCTGACACTCTTCCTCATCCTCAGGTGGGTCTGGGAGTCAGGACGGCTGGATTAGGGCCAACATTCAGTCAGCTGGCCCACTTAGTGACAGTGCTGACCTCAGCTCAGGCTGTGTGCTGGTTGAAAACCCCAGGAGATGGATTTCTACCAACTGCTCAGCTGAAGTTCAGCACTCCTTCATCTGTTCCTCAGAGCCCGTTCCTCACTGAAGGCAGCCATGTTTACAGTCTGTGAACCCCTCAGATCTAAAGTCCATAAGCCGCTCTGTACAGAATTTTAATAAAAACCTAAAAAGCTTCTGATACTTTCTTTTTTTTTTCTTTTTTCTAACGGTGTCCTGTCTGGCAATGTGGCAATAAGAATAGTTGTCTTGATGCCCAAAAGAGCCCAACAGATTTTACTTTCACAAGTGGAGCAGTACGGCTATCGCCATAGTGTTCCGCTTGTTTCATTCATATAAATTGCTTATGCAGGGGGATTTACAATTATATGGACACTGCAATGTAAATAGAATAGAAGAGGAAAAACAGGAAAAAAAGGGGAAAAGATGAAAGAGGAGATAGAAAGGAGATAATGATAAAACATTTTCAGTCTGCTTCATCACCTGCAAAGAGATGTAAAAAGAACAGCACAACCAACGGACATGGAATGAGACATACAATAAAGTAACACCTAAATACTATCACTGAAGTAGTATTATTTAATCTGTTACCTGAAGATAAGAGTGTGGGCTTTCTGTATGGAAGTGAATCTCCGAGTACCTGGAACCAAGCACCTGTAGTTGTTTGTGAGAGTGCACTTGTGCATGTAAAGTTTATCCAAAGAAAAAATGCTCAATAGTGGTTGTGGAGAGCCGAAGAGGCGCCCCCCCAGAGCACTGAGTCCTGCGCCAGGAGACCCAAAGCCCCAGACGCCCAAAGGGACCCCAAGAGCGAAGGCACCAAGGAGGGGCCAGCGCAGGAAATCAGACTCCCACCAAGGAAAGAGGAGAGACGGCCCCAAGGAAGTCCATCAGCCACTGCAATGCCTGAGACCCCCGGGAGCCACGAGTCCGCGGGCTCTGCCGGCAGCCAGCCACCCTGAAGTGAATCCGGCCCTGGGCCCCAGGGATCCTAGGCCCTAGGGGCGCCCCACCCCCCGGTAGGAGCTCCAGCCAGGCCCTGGCCGGTCGGGCCCCACGGAGAGGCCGCCAGGAAATAGCCAGCATCCACCTGGGCATCCACCTCCACCAGTGCACCGGCTCCAGGGAGAGCAGGACGGGGGAATGGGCTCTGCACTTAGCGGAGACTTGAGATGTTCTTGGGAGAGGGAGCAGTTCAGACCCCAACCTGGGAGAGAGAGAAAAAAAAAGCATTCACCTTCCCACCCTAGTGCCCCCACTCGCACCACAGAAGAAAAAAAAAAGAAAACGCGGACACACACATAACACTCACATCAAATGATACCAGGACCGAGGACCCGGCGGCACCTGTGGTTGGTCTCCGGGATTATCGGATGACCATGGACCAGGCGGCTCCCTCTTCCTCCAGGCCCCAGACTCCAGGTGGCAGCCGGAGAACAGGGGTGTGAGAAGAGCCGGATCCTCCCTGCGCCTGCTCGAATGTGGTGTTGACAGGCGGTGCCAGCGCACCCCCCCCCCAATCGAAAAGAGAACTCTCAATGTCTAAATGCCAGAGGGGATGGGGGGAGTGGACCGTGGTGAGGCCCATAAAATAAGCCCCCCCCAGGTGCCCTTGACCCCCACCCCCCCAGATGTGTGTTGTGAAAATGTTGTAAATGGAAGTGTCTAAATGCAAAATAAAATTGGGGTGGGGGACGTCATCAGAAGGTGCAGCCCTCCAGTAATGACCCCCTCCCCAAAAACCTACATGTGTAGCAGTGTGATGGAGCAGGCAGAGGGAGGATTCCGTGGGTGGGGAGCAAAGGACCGGGGTGCTTACTGCACTCCCAGGGAGCCAGCTCCCCTGCTGACTCCAATAGGCCGAGAGCCCCACCGGAGAGGGGGGCCCCACCAGTCCAGTTGCACCACCATAGCCTGGGGGCCAGGGACTGGAGGCAGGACCCACAAGCCAGACGGCCACAGGGCCAACACCCCCCCATCCTGTCCATCCAAAAAAAAAAAAAAAAGGGGGGGAAACAAGTCCGGTCGGCCAGCCCGCATGCACCATGCAGAGCCCCAACCCCAGACGAAGCCCCCACCAGGTGACGGCACGGACCAGGACCGAGACAGGGAGCCAGACCCGAAGCCCTTCTAAAATCCTCTTCCCTCCACCACCACTCCCCACCCCCCCTCCAGAGATGTGATCCCTCCCCCAGACCCACCCAGCACCAGCACAACTACCAGGCCAGTAGCCTACGTCCACCACCACGGAACCCCCCGAGAGTACCGCATGCGGCCGCCGTAGGATGCCCCGAGGCGTCCCAAGTCCTGCCCCGGTGGGGATAACAGACCCCGGTGCCAGACCTGCCAGGCACCCCACTCTGAGCACCCCCCCGAGCCCTCCAGGACCCAAGGACCCCAGAACCAGCCCCCGCGCCCCGCAGGACGCACCCCACAGTCCCCCACTACACTAAGTAATGGAGCCGATCAAGGGAGCCCAGAGAGATCGGTCTGATGGGGATGCTGATGCTGTCTCAAGATTAATATGATCCAACAACAGATCTCTGTACTGATTGATGTTGAGTTTATCCTTACTTTTCCAATTCATGAGGATAGTTTTCTTTGCGATACATAATGCAGTGAAGGCCATGCAAACTGATTTTTTTTCCATAGAGCTTCCCTCAAAGTCACCCAGCAAGCAAACTGAAGGGGAAAGCGAGATTTTACATCCCAGACACAGTGATAGGTCCTTACATACCTGTACCCAGAACCTCTGAACCGGCGTGCATAATCATAACGCATGAATACAATCATCAAGATGATTGCCTATGCAATCTGATGGATTTAACATTGATGTGTATAAATGTTTAAAGAAATCTCGGAAGGTATTGTTAATACCCTCTGGATCCTGTAATATATTACCAACTGAGTCTGTAACTGCAATTTTTTTTTTTTCATTTTTTTCTTTGTTTTTTTTTAGCTGATTAGCTAAGAAATTTCCTGCCTTATTGCTATGTTCAAACTTAGCAATTTGGAGTCTTTGTATTAAAAATGTATCTTGTTTTTCAATATATTCGTTTAGTTCTAGTTTTATTTTACAGATTTCGCCTAATTTTTCCTCATCTAGCAAGCTTTCTAGTAACTTAATTTTTTCCTCTAATTCCTGGATCTTTTTTTGTTCTACCTTTTTTTATGAGATGAGAATGAAAAAATTTTACCTCTCATCACTGCTTTCCCTGCTTCCCATAGTATAGATGCTGATGTTCCTGGAAAATCATTGCACACCGAGTATGATGCTTACTCTTCCTTGAAAAATTTGAGAAACTCTTCATCGTTAAGCAGTGATGCATTTAATCTCCAGCTCTTGTTTTGTGGGACTATTTTTTTATTTATTAGGGTTAAAGTAACAGGAGCATGATCACTGACAGCAATAGGATGGATTACAGCATCTGAGACGTCAGACAGCAGCGAGCTGCTGATTAAGAAATAGTCCAAACTAGAGTAGGAATGATGGACATTAGAAAAGAAAGTGTTTTCCTTACTATTAGGATCGCCATGCATCGCAAAGACCAAAATCACTCATGCATTGTTTGACTACATTAATGATTGCCAACTGCGTTGAGTCCTTGTTGTATTCTACATGTCTATTTCTCCATTTAGACCAAAGTTGAGGTCACCCCCAATAATTAGAGAACAGTCCCCGTGCTTTGAAAGTGCATGAAAAACTTTGTGGAAGAATGAGGGGTCGTCAACATTTGGACCATATATGCTGACAATACATAACTTTTGGTTATAAATAGATATTTTAATTATGATGAATCTGCCTTCAGGATCTATAATTTTGTCTAATAAAGTAAAACTGAGGTTTTTGTGGATTAAAATTGCTATTCCTCTCTGTCTAGAGGTATAGCAGGCTGCAAACACATCAGGGAATTTAGGGCAGTTAAGATCACTTACAGTTGTCTCTGATTTATGGGTTTCTTGCAATAAGACAACATCTGCGTTTAATCTTTTAAGCTGGTTAAAAATCTTAAACTGTTTCTCTCTGGTGCCAGCTCCATGCACATTCCATGTCACAAACCTTACATTCACTTTAGGTGTGAGTGGGAAGATGAAAAGTACATGCCTCTGAATAAATAGTTATACCTAGACCCAGGTAGCATCAAACCGTGTTCCTGTAATTCTGTGGAATACAGGGAAGAAGTAGACGAGTATGAAAAAGAAAGACAGAGAATTGAAAAAGTGCATTGAGTAAGAAAAGGTGAAAGAAGAACCCCAGCCCATGCTTCCTGTACCTAGCTGTGACTAACAGCCATACTGTGTCGATAGTGCTCTAGAGCTGTGCATATATTTCATTTATCACCATGAAACCTTCCATACACTTTTATCAAGTGTCACATGCTATCAAGTGTCACATGCTATCAAATGTCACCTGCTATCATGTGTCAAATGCTTCTGATTCTTTCTAAACTTTTGAGACTGAACCAGTGTCCCTGACGCATCACCCTGTAGAAGCTCCTCATCAGCAGAAGAAGGTCAGTCAGGCTGAGATCTAGACCTTAACTAGACCATTGCTGCCAATTCT